GCCTCCCCAGCCAGCTAGCCAGCTAGCTAGCTGGCTAGCTAGCCAGCTAGCTAGCTGGGGCCTCCTTGGAAAGCAAAGCATAAGGGCTGTTGGGGCCCCGGGGGCGCTGCTGCTCAGCTGTAGATACACCCGAAGGCTCGGTGTGGGGCCCCTCGGCAGCAGCAGCTTGGGTCTCCTCTGTGGGGCCTGCTCGCAAACCCTAAACCCTAGACCCTAAACCCTAAACCCTAAACCCTAAACCCTGAGTGCGCGCTGAGCCTGAAGGCTGGGCCGCAGACCTGGAGGCTTTGCGGCGCCGGCGGGCCGCGGCCTCCCGCCCGCAGCGCCGGACCCCAAACCCTAAACCCTAAACCCTAAACCCTAAACCCTCACGGGGCTGCTGCTTGTCGGGGAGCTCCTCGTCGCTGCTGCCAACTGCTGCCTCCCAGACGGCGAGGCGGGCCTCGTGGGCCCTTCGCTGGGCCTCGAGAAGTGCACTGTGGGGTGGAGACGATCCCAGGGGAGACGATCCCAGGGGAGACGATCCCAGGGGAGACGATCCCAGGGGAGACGATCCCACGGGAGACGATCCCAGAGCAGCAGCGCCGCGGCAGCAGCGACACAGCGCGTAAACCGCCAAGCAAAAAGCTCCCAAACACACCAAAAACCAAAAGAAATAAGCCGCTGCTCGCAAACCCCAAACCCTAAACCCTAAACCCTAAACCCTAAACACTAAACCCTAAACCCTCCCCGAACCCGTCGTCAGCAGCAGGCGCCGCGGCTGCTACGCTTCGCGCCGCTGTCGGGCTCAGCGTCTTTCCGAATTAGGGTTTAGGGATTAGGGTTTAGGGTCTAGGGTTTAGCGTTTAAGGCCTAGGGTTTAGGGTTAGGGTTTAGGGTTTGTCACCTTTGTCTCGTTCGCCCCAGGTGCTGTAGACGACTTGAGGGCTTTTGCGGGGGGAGGAGCTGTCTTCAAACGTCTGAACGCAAACCCTAAACCCTAAACCCTAAACCGTAAACCCTAAACCCTTTGTCTTTGCTTCTGCCGCCTCAACGAGGGCCCTTGAGGGGCCTGTGTGAAGCCCCAGGACTAGGGTTTAGGGTTTAGGGTTTGCAGACCTCGTGGACTCCGTTTGCAGCAGATAACTCTTGTAGCTCGTCGGCCAACTTCTCTGCAGACACAAACCCTCTCCGAGGGTTTAGGGTTTTCAGGGTTTGGCGCGCAGGGCCTCTACAACGCGCCCAGGGTTTAGGGTTTAGGGTTTAGGGTTTGCAGGGAGCGCCCGCGCGCGTGGCTGACGGCGCCAGAGCCGCCGCCGCGGGCGCAGCCCGCGCTAGAGTTTTCCTCTATGGTTTTT